GGGACTTGGATGCCACAGTTGGTGATAAGGAAAGGCAGAGCGGCTGGAATTCCTCCCAGTTGCGAGGGTGGGGCGGGGCGGGGTGGGGGTGGGGGGGATGCACCCAGAAGAAATAGACCTGCGCCAGTAGGTGCCTTGTTGGCCCCAGACTTTGGTCTTCATCCCTGGACCCTTGTGGGAGCTGGGATGGGCTGCTATTGGCCTTGCCTGGTGATGTCTTCGATGAGCACTCACCGCTCTGAGGGAGCCAATTGCCCTGTCCAATTTGGGGGATTGCAAAGCCAAGAAGGGGTCTGGTGAGCCCCTTGCTACTCTTTTTAAGAGCTTGAAGAGGGGTGCAGACTTTGTTTTGGGTTGCTAGGCTACCTACAGATATTAGAGGTGTGTAGAGGCACTCAAAGGCTCATGGACACACCCAGACATGAGTGTTGCCATGGAGATAGGCACTTCCTGCTACCTCTGGACAGCTCAGTTTCCCCTCCGACTCCTGGGCCTGTTTTTCCCAAAGAAATAGGAGGGTTTGGCTATTTGGGATAGTGGTTGCTTCATCGCCCCAGAACTTGCAGAATTTGGTTTGTTCAAGATTATGTGGAAAATAGCCCCCTCTCTGAAAAGCTGTCTCTGGACCTCTTGTCCTCTGTTCCTAAAATGGCTACAAAAAATAAAATAATAATAATAATGAAAACACATCTCAAGGACATTAAGGAAAAGCCTAGGGCACTTCCTCGTGGATTGGCAGAGTCCTATCGACCTTGGAGCTGGGAAAGTTCAGATGTAACCGGAACCGGTTTCTGCATAAAACTCGTCAAATGGTGTCACATGTCTGAGGCAGGGCTGAGGGCTGGTGTTAGTGACTGAGTCAGATGCTGCAAGGCCCCTGACTGCCAGCAAAGGAGGCCCCTGCCTCCTAAGCACGACTCTCCAGAGAGACTAGCATGAAGTGGGGACATTTATTGCCAATCATTGGTGACACTCCTTTCTGGGGGGCCTGGGTGGGGTGGGCTCACACTTGTCTTATGCTTGTCTCAATGACTCATCTGGTCTTTTTCAGTACAAGAGGTCGGAGCAGGGCCCTTCTTGGAGACAGCAACACTGGAGGGAGGGAAGGGACAGGGTGGGCGTTGAAAAGCAAGGCAGATGGGGAGTGGATGAGCCTGTTTTAGGCCAGAGGCTATGGGGAGAGTACAGCTAGTGGGGCTGCCTAGCTGGGCAATTGTGTGGGAGATGAATCTTAATTAAACACCCGATTGAGCTCAGAGAAATGCACTAGGCTGAGAGCTAGAGTGGGGCTATAAGTGGCTGGTTCACTTGTCTGTGGGCTTATATGGAAATGTTCTTAAAAGGAGACTCTTTTTATCAAGGCCTTGGTGGGGTCAGGGTAGGCACAGTGGGTAAAGAGGTTTTCTAACCCCAAACCCTGGCCTGTGTTTTGCCTATGCAGATTTTTTTTTTTTTTCTCTTTCTGTTCCTGCTAGCTGGCCACTGACTCCCACAGGAGAATCTGATTTCCTAGAAAAAGCCTCTGGCTAAAGAGGGAATGGAATTGCATGTGGGAACAGAGTAGAGGGAACAGCTCCCAGATCTCTAGCCAAGCCTGACTCTTTTGTTGAAGGCAGTAACCACACAGTCCAGTGTCCCTCAGAACACCCCCACTAGCTGTGGGGGCAGGGCGAGTCCCAGAGCCCAGAGAGCAAGAAGCTCCACTGAAGAGTTCCCTAGCTGCCCCCGCCCCAGCCCTGCCAAGAGAACACCAGAGTCACTGTGTTTCCAGCCACCCTTACGATCCTAGGGGCCTGACTGCAAGGGGAGCCTTGTCTACATTCATCCTGGCTTCTGATAGTTTCCAAGTCCACCTCAATACGTTTTTTTATCATAGAGCTCTTGAGGTATTCCTCTGCTGGCTCTTTGTGAGGGCGGGCTGCACTTGGGAGCTGTCCTTGGGAGCCCTGGTCTGTAGAGGAGTTTGTAGTCCACAATCAGCTCACGGACATGACCAGATACCCACGGGGATCAGTGTTCAGACAGGTAGATCGTTCCACCAGACAATAGGCCCAGTCTCTTAGGTCATTAGCCTCTGGTGCTGCACTTTCTGTGTGAGGTTGGGTTGTCTAGAGAAACAAAAGCAGTGACACTCATATATGTTTAAGAAAGAATCGTATATCAAGGAGTAGCGTACGGCAAGAAGGCAGCCCAGGCTAGTCCAACTCAAGCCCATAAGTCCAATGCGAGCTCAAGGCCTCTTCAGACTCACATAGTTGCAGGCTGATGAGGCAGGAAGGCGAAACGGAATATAGGAAGCTCACAGGCCAATGAGTGCAGTTTCATGTGGATCCAAGGTTGGGGGACCATGTCAGGAAGCCGACACCTCTCTCAGGGGGCTCACATGGGGTCCCTGGAGGCAGGCACAGTCTCAGCAAGCAGGAAGGCAAAGGGGTAGAGAGAGAGGGAGGTTCCCAGTTTCTTCCTTACCGGAAGGCCACACCCCTTAGGAGGTATCATCAGGCTGTGACCTGATTGACAGGTTGGATTCCATCTCTACACTTTCACACAACATCATCCGACTATCACCCTCCCCCCCATGGGTGGGTACCATGGGCTAGCGTGCACTAAGGAACCAGTTGTTTCTGAGGGCCATCAGAAGTTCCAGAAGTCCCTGGCCTCTCATTTCTTGGATGCTTCGGCCCAGGTGGCTTCAGAGGAGCAGCAGAGCCTGTGATGTTCTGTAGACAGCTTTGTAACCTCTGCTGCTCTACTTGGGTCAGGCATGACTAGATGGGTCTAGATGACTAGAGGGGCAGGGAAATGGAAGTATCGGGCCAGGGCTTCCTAAGGGCCTTTCTGCCTCAGAATGGATGAAGGCGGCCAAGGATGGGAGGCCCACAGCTTCCATGGCAGTCCTGCCCCCGACTCCCCAGGCCCACATCTCTTCTTTACGCCAGGAGGCCTTTCCTTCTTGTTCAAGAATTTCTATTCTGTAAAATAAAAGTGGCATTCCAACTCTTGAAGGCCTTGTGCCCCCAGCATTGGATGTCTTTGAGTTTTACTCCCTTGGAGACAGTAAATGGGGTACACTACCCCTATGCCTGGATGGGAGTCCTGAACCTCGCTCTGATCTCCTCAGTGGGCACAGGCAGGTGCTGGCCTGGCTAACCACCCATGCAGGCTAGAGGAAGGACGACAGGGCCAGGAGCAGAGCATGTCAATCCGAGAGCTGTGGGGGGATGTGTTTGGTGGGGGTTGTGGTAGTGGGGAAGGCCCCTACCTGTGCTCAGACCCTTGCCCACTTGCGGGAGAAACCTGTTATGTTCCTCTGTAAATTAGAGAGCTGACCTGCTCGTTATCTCCTTCCTTCCCATGGGAGAAATTCGGACCTAACAAAGTAGAAACCTCTCCGCCCCTAGGGAGGGGCGAAGGAAAGTTCAGTCAGGAACTGATGGTGTTGGCTGGTGCCTGGGACCCTTGGGAGGTTCTGCCCACACAGCCTCCAGAGGGGGTTTGAAACTCCAGCAAAGACAGCTGCACTCCCTTCTTTCCACCTTTTCTGGAGCAGCAGCTCCCTCTGGGGGGCAAGACCCTTCCTGTTTAAGATGTTTTCTTTCCATTCTCCCTCTCCCTCCTGTGCTTCTTTCTACAAGATAGCCAACACCCGTTTGATACCTAGCACCTAAAGCCCCGGAGGAGTGAGATTTGAAGGCTAGATGGACAAGATTTAGTGGAGCAGAAGGAAGGAGGGAGGGATTTTCAAGAAGGGAGGACCAAAGTGAAGGCCGGGGGTGAGGAGTGGACATGTTCATACCTGTGCAGCGGAAGGCGAGGAGTGGGAAGTAGAGATAACTCTGGTTGGAATGGTGTGAGACGTCAGGCAGGGCCTTAACTATGCAGTGAGTAGATAGGAGAGGGATTGTAGCATTTTGTTCACAGGAGTGGCGTGGTGTGGTGTGAGGGCTCAGGTGCGGAGCCTAAGCTGAGGCACTCAGCAGCAGGAGTGGAGGAAATGGGAGAAGGGAGGGCCAAGAACCGTTAACTGACTTGGTTTGGAGGTTGGGGGAGAGGGAAGAGCCCAAGATGGCAGGTTTTGAGTTTTGGAGTTTGGGAAAATGCAGGTGGTAGCCACAAAGCCAGCAGGGAAGTCCAGGGGATATCAGGTCTTAGGGAAGTGGCTCTCTGGTTAGAAAGAGACAGGACCTCAGGGGGGAGCTTGCTTGTGGTGGAGAGGCAGACCTGGAGTGCCACTGAGCAAGCTGGGCTGCTGGTGAAGAAGGGGACCCTGTGCTCAAGGTGGGGGTGCCTGCCAGCAGAGAGTATGATCAGGCAGGCCCCGAGATCTCCCCACTGGAGATAGGTGGCACAGGAAACATGGAGGTAGAGGTCAACGTTGACTCATCTCATGTGGGCTGGATCTCCACAGAGAGGCCGTTCTGTGCTGGTCGCCGTCCTCCCTCTACACCAGTGGTCTGCTCTTGGCTGTCTGCCCTCTGCCTCCCCAGGCAGCGTGGGTGATGGGCGCCCACAGCAGAGGGGCTCTGAGCTGGACTGACTCCACTAGATGCCTCCAGCTCCTCCTGAATTAACTGCTTTGTTTTTTCCCTCGTCTTCATTTCCCCCGGCTGGTTTTCCTTGTGTGGCCTCCTTAACCAAACTTTAACATATTAATGGTGGGGGTTCGCCAAGCCCCCTGTCTCCTTCTCAGCCCACCAGGGCCTTTCCAGGACTGGGGCCTCTTCTCCAAAAGGCCCAGGGCTGAAGCAGGAGCTGCCTCTGGGCTGGGTGCTACGGATGGGTGGGGAAGCGTGCCAGGTAGCTGTTAGCCCTGTTGTGGAGGGGCAGTGACCCAAGGCACACCTTTCTCTAAGTGCAGCCCCCTGGGACCTCCTTCCTGCCTAACCATTTTCCTGGACTCTGCGGCCTCTAACGAACTCTTGATTTCAGATACGCTGGTGTCCTATGGTGAGCCACTTGCTCTCTGGAGCAGGCCAACTAAGACAGCTGGTCCCTTTTAATAGAAAGGCCTCTGCACCCCAGATGATGGCCGGTTAATACTCTGCAACTGTTGTTGACTTCACCTCCTCCTCTCCTTGCTTTTTTGGCCTAATCATTCCATTTGCTGTTTTTGCTTAGCTTATCAAGCAACCGGTTGTCTCTCCCCAGCTCTGGAAGGTAAAGGCACACTGCATTACATGTCTCGGACTGCATTTTCTCTCGGGTCTGGCCCTCTGGGTGACTGCTTGTGCACTAACCAGGCTGCATGGGGTGAGGGGAGGGCTGGAGAGCGGGCAGGGGAGGCTGGGAGTGGGTACTCACGTGAGCATGGGTCTCACAGGGGCCAGCGTTGATGTTTGCATGGACCACGTGGAAGGGGCACATGGACTCAGGGGTAGAGAGCTGGTCAGGGGTCCCTGAGATTGCCCGCAACCCGTCTCTCTCTGCCCCAGGGAAAGATGCCATTGTTTTTATAACCACATATCCAGGGTTACTTATCTTCTGACGATAGCCACTACCTTTGAAAATAAGTCATCTTCTTTAATCCCTCCAGGCTGCCTACCGCCTCTTCCTCTGACTTTCCACTCCCATCCCCTCCTCCACCCTCCCCTGCAAAATGTAGACCCAGCGGCAGCGGGCTCAGGCACGCTGGGCTAGCGGGCTCCTGTACTAACTGGGCCTGCGTGAGAGGCGCCAGCACGGGATTGAGCAGGCCCACGGTTCAGGGCTGTCTTCTTGCCTCCTGTGCTGGGGACAGCGCTCTACCCCTGGCTGAACTGACTGTTAGGATCAAAGTGGGAACATTTCCTGGCTGCTTCCCACCACTTGGCCCTGATCCCAGACTCTGGTAGGTTTGGGGCGAGCTGGCTACAGTTTCTCTACACAGACAGATTTCTGAGAGTAGCAGAGAGGGCCCGCTATTGATAGCACCCTCTAAGGACAGCATCATTTGATGAAGGAACGCACTGGGAGCCTATGTCCTGAGACTTACAGCCTGTAGGAGGTGGGGGCAGGGTAGGAGGCAACTAGTCCAAAGCAGGGTATGGTCAGGGCTGACGAGGAGAGGACCTGGAGGTTTACCTAAAACAAAGTGACTTGTCAAACCAAGGGGCAAAGTCGGGTCCCCTTGAGCACCGCAAAGCCCCCAGGAATCTGGTGTTCTTGAGAGACGCGTGCGTGGTTGGGCTGTGTTAGAGACGCGTGCGTGGTTGGGCTGTGTTAGAGACGCGTGCGTGGTTGGGCTGTGTTAGAGACGCGTGCGTGGTTGGGCTGTGTTAGCTGATGAGGCCATGGAGTGGGCAGGACTGGCAGGTGTCAGGGTGGGATGAGACCGTTTCCAGATGTTTGCGTTTCCTAGCTTTCCAGGGAACTGGACTTGGGCGCAGCGGACTTGGGCCATCCCACATCTGTGTGGTTTGGTGGACGGGGACAGGAAGCTCGTGGCAGTGAGAAGCTGCGTGACACTCGGTGGCATGTTAGTGGCTCTCCCTGCCCCCTCAAGAGCATCCCAGACCCATCGCACTGGAGGCTTTCATCTAGTTAGCGCTCCTGATCTTCAAACATGAGTGTGAACAGTAACAAGGCAGGGGACCTACTGAGGAGAGTAGGAAATGAGACGTAGTCTTTCCCGTTTAAAAACAGTCAAGAAATAAGTTCATGTTGTTGGATTTCTAGCAGTTGTCTTTGCAGTGGAGCCAGCCCTGGCAGCATAGTGGGTTATGCATTAGACTGCTAACCTCAAGGTCAGCAGTTTGAAACCACCAAGCCGTTTCTCCTGAGAAAGAGGCAACTTTTTACTCCCGTAAAGAGTTAATAGTCTCAGAAACCCACGGGGACAGTTCTACCCTGTCCTAAAGGGTCGCCATGAGTTGGCATCGACTTGCTGGCAATGAGTTTGGTTTGCCAATTTTCTTGAGTTGCCCATCCAGCTTCATCCTCAAGAGCCTGAGCTGATTGTTATATTCAGCCAGGGTCAGGGTCATAGGTGAGGGAGAGCCCAGAGTATCTCGAGAGGACATAACTAGGGATGCTTTGAATTTGTTGAAGCACCATAGAAGTCAGATTCTTCCCAGCAGGCCAATTTCCTCTAGTAGAAAGTCTTGGTTGAGATTTGATATTCCCCCAAATCAGAAATTACTGTTAGTCTGATAACAGTAAGAAACGTTTCAGTTTTTCTTCCTGAGGTCCAGGGACTTGGTCCTGGCCTATGACTTCTGGTTTCTGAGTGGTTAAGAAGAGGTCAGGGAGCTTACTGGGCAGGTGACCCTTATGGGAGTGTTTCACATAGTGTTGTGGAAATCTAACTGCAGACCCCCCTCCAGTATCCCAATGTATTCCCTCTCTGCACGGTCTTTGTGGGAGCGGGCCCCTGCCAACTCCCTGCAGGCCTAGGCAGCTGCATTCCTGAGGAGAAACCAAGGCTGAGCCCTAAACATTCTTCATGGATTCCCACGCTTCCTGGAATGCCACCTTCCTCCGAAAGCCCGTAGTAACATACACAGAAATGAGAAACGGAACCCACTGTCCACATCCCCAAGTCTGCAGGCTGTAGGTCCTGTTTGCTTGGGCTCCCACACACTTCCCTTCCACCCCTTGGGTGGCCACCCCTCTTGTGAGGCACATAGAAAGTCTGCTTTATCACCACAGTTTCTCTCCTCCCTGGGCTCCCAGTTGCTCACATCAGGCGTGTGTGTGTGTGTGTGTGTGTGTGTGTGTGTGTGTGTAGTGGGAGGGGGCACGGGGCACCGATTGTGCACCACACCACCTGTCTGATGTGAGCTTCACGCCTGGGAATGCACTGGTGGCTCTGCTGGCCCCTGGAGGGTTTGGCATGATGGTTTGCTTCCTGTGTCCAGGAACGGGAGTGCTGTGAGCCCCGAGCTTTGCTGGGGAGCTTGTCCTGGGCTCAGTAAGCACACAGATGCCTCTGAATCCAGGGACACGGACTGTCTCGAGGGAACCAAATGCCCTGCTTTGGCAGGGTGGCCCTGCCTGTGGTTCAGCAGCCCTGCTGGTGGGTTCAGGAGCTGCCCATAGGGTATGCACTGCAGCAGGGGGCACCCAGTGATGAAGCAGGGAGCCACGCCGGCATGCCACAGCAGGTCCCCAGCTCTGTGAGGGTCCGAGTGTGTTTGAGTCTCCCTTTTCTGATAACCTTGGGGACTAGAGCCCACTCTGAGTCCCCCAGGCCTTTGGTATGGGCTCCCTTTTTCTTTGTCCACTGTGGGTCCATGCTTTTCTTCTAAGCACACCCTCCCGGAGAGGGTCCTGAGCTCCTAGGACCCGTGTAGCCTGGAGGTGTGGCCAGCTGGCTTTTTCTTCTTTGGCATGGACAGAGGCTGTGGGGCTGGGAGTTCTGGCCCGGAGACTTGGTCTGTCCACGTGTGTGTCCCCCATGCATGAGCTCCCAGGGTATGGGAGGTGGGGGGTGAAACACGGCCCTCTGTGGGCGTGGAGTGGGGATCCCTGGTCGGGGGACTGTGGTCAGAAGCCTGCCTGCTGTAAGGGCTAGAATTCCCTTCTTCTGAGCACCCTCCCTGCGCCTGGCATGGCCCAGAGCCCCAGGCACCCTTGAAGAAAGAGTTGCCCAGGCGCTATGGCCATGCCCAGGGGTTGGCGACGGGCCCTGGCACAGGTGGAGAGTCCAGGGCGGAGCTGGCTTGGGGGCGGGCTGCTCTGAACCCCCTTTGCCTTTCCTAGGAGCACCTTCTGCTCCATCATCGCTCAGCTCACAGACGAGACCCAGCCGCTCTTCGAAACCACGCTCAAGTCCCGGGCTGTGTCCGAGGACAGCGACGTCAGGTTCACCTGCATCGTCACAGGTAATGAGGCCGTCTGCATGCTCCACGCCAGGGCCTTTGTACAGAACTGGGCCCAAGGAGGCAGTGGAACCTGGCACGGGGTGGGCGTGGGCCATGTGCATCACACTGCAAGTTGACATTTGTTTTCCTACCTTCTCCCCACTCCCATCTCCCCATGTGGCCCGAGGTCCCTCTCTCCTCCCATTCTGGGGTGCCACACACACCCTGCTCACCTTCCAAGCCCGTCCTCGGTAAAGGTTCCTCGCCCTCAGCTCTATGATCATCTTAGTTCTGAGAGTGGACACTCACCAGGTGAAATTGGGCTTAGAGGCTGTTGCCCTGAGTGACGCGTTTTACAGATGGGTGATTTGAGGCTTGAAGAGAGTCAAGTCAGAGGGGGATGAAGAGTGGTGATTGAGTACAGACTCTGGAGCTGGTTAGAGATCCAAGCTCATCCCCTTTCCAATAATAAGATAGGATAGGGCAGTAGGTTACATAATTGCTCCTCAGCTGCCTCATCTGTAACATGGGGAGAATGAGAGTACTAAATCATCAGGGTTTTCGTGAGGATGGAATGAGTCAATATAGGCAAAACACCTGGCAATATAGTAAGTACCACGTAAGTGCTAAGCTAGGGATCATCATTTGCTTGTCACATGGCTTTCCACTCTTCTGAAGAGGTCCAGCCTCCAACTCACAGGGCAGTTCTACCTTGTCCTGTAGGGTTGCCGTGAGTCAGAAAGGATTCAGTGGCAGTGAATTTGGTGTTGTTGTTTTTTTTTAACTCCACAATGGGATTTGGTTGGTGGGACAGGGGAGTAAGAGAAGGGTGGGAGGTCTGGGAAGCTGGTTCCAGGGATTACTCTTCAGCCCAACTTCCAAGCAGAACCTCCTATCATGTTGTATCAGTCTGCTTTGAAAATACATCGACACTTGGACTCCCAGCCCAACAACCACAAGGTCAAGGAGTCCTGCTCAGGATTTCCACTGATAACTTGTTGCTTCTGTAAATCAAGGGCATTGGGTCAGAAACTCCCGGGCAGCTTCCAGCTGTGATATTCTGTAATTCTGGTCTGCCCTGGGCAGCTTTGTAGCTTGTCTGAGCGTTGAGGTCCTGTGAGCAGTTTTTACCCATATCCAGAACTCTCTGAGTTTTAGGTGAAGAACTTTCTGTCCAAGGGACACAGAGATAGAATACCTGCATCCTGTATCTTTGTACCATCCTGCATTTCCTACATTATTTGTGGTGCTAGTTATGAGAAAACCCCAGCTCTTTCAGAACTCTCTGTTTTTGCATTATGTTGTTTTCTGTATCTAGAAAGCCCTTGTTCTTTCGTCAGATTTTAGTCTATCCAATTAATACATGCGCAAAGTGTAAGACTTCAATTAGTATAAGTCAAAACACAGCCGTCGGCCACACTCACCAACTTGTCTCAAAAAGCAACCATTTTTCAACTTTTAGCTACTTTCTTGTGGGTTGTATCCATTTCCCTCATGCTGTGTAATAGGACGTCTCACTTTGAATCTTCCATTTGAGATCGTCTCTTGTGTCACTGCTTTGGTAGAGAAGGAATTAGCCTGTTATAGCATTACTTTCTTTCTCTGCCTTTCTTCATGGGTCCTCTCCACTCTACCACAACCAAACCCACTGTTGATGAGCTGATTCTGACTGGTAGAGCCACTTGAGACCAGAATGGAACTGCCCCATAGGGCTTACAGGGTTGCACATCTTTTTCATTTATTTATTTATATCATTTTATTAGGGGCTCATACATCTCTTATCACAATCCATACATACGACAATTATGTAAAGCACATTTGTACATTCATTGTCCTCATCATTCTCAAAACATTTGCTCTCCACCTAAGCCCCTGGCATCAGCTCCTCATTTTCCCCTCTCCCTTCCCACTCCCCCCGCCCTCATGAACCCTTGATAATTTATAAATTATTATTTTGTCATATCTTGCCCTGTCCGATGTCTCCCTTCATCCACTTTTCTGTTGTCCGTCCCCCAGGGAGGAGGTCACATGTAGATCCTTGTAATCGGTTCCCTCTTTCCAACCCACCCTCCCTCTACCCTCCCAGTATCGCCACTCACACCACTGGTCCTGAAGGATCATCCGCCCTGGATTCCCTGCGTTTCCAGTTCCTATCTGTACCAGTGTACATCCTCTGGTCTAGCTAGACTTGCAAGGTAGAATTGAGATTATGATAGTGGGAGGGAGGAAGCATTTAGGAACTAGAGGAAAATTGTATGTTTCATCGTTGCTACATCACACCCTGACTGACTTGTCTCCTCTCCGAGACCCATCTGTAAGGGGATGTCCAGTGGCCTACAAGTGGGCTTTGGGTCTCCACTCCGGGTTGTACGTCTTTATGGATGCAGATTGCCTTATCTTTTTCCCTGTACAGCAGCTGGGGTTGAACCAACAGGCCTTTTAGTTAGCATCCCAATGCTTAACCCACTGTGTCACCAGAACTCTTTCCTATCAACATGGTTGCATCAGTATTAGATGCCGTCGAGTCCGTTCTGACTTAGCAACTCTAGACATAGCTGAACAGAACTCTGCCCGGTCCTGCACCGTCCTTACAGTTGTTAGGTTTGAGCTCGTTGTTGTAGCCTCTGTGTCGGTCCCTTTCCTTGAGGGTCTTCTTGTGCGATGACCTTCCACTGTACCAAGCATGATGGCCCTGTCCAGGGATGTGCCCTCCTGATAACATGCCCCAAGTACGGGAGACAGTCTCGCCATCCGTGCTTTTGAGGATCGTTATGGTTGTACTTCTTCCAAGACAGATTTACTTGTTCCACTTAAATAATAATTTTGCTTAATTCATAGTTATTGTTGATCATATTATGCTCATGTCAGTGTTATTCATAACTGAATCTTGTAGCATATTATTTTTTCTTATATATTTTCCTAAAGTTCATACTTCCCTTATTTCTTCATTTATTACGACTGAATCATTTACCTATTGATCATTTTTCTTATGCTTTCTAAAGGTCTAATATAGTTTTCTACAGAATTAATATTATCGGTCATCTACCATTTATTCTCCTTGGGGCCGTCCCTCAGGGGGATCTCTGTTCTCCTCAACTGGTGGTTGTTAAGACCTGAGACACAGCTGTTATGTTGGGGCTTCCCTTTGCCTTTTTCCTGAGTCTGATTCTGATTCCTGGAGCTCGTGTCTTCCTCCTTCTTGGGTCACTTCGTGGCTTCTTTGAAAGACTTCCTCCCGTCGTTTTGTCAGGTCCTAAAGCGGGTCCAGTGGCAGCGGACATTGTGATGGCCACCTGTGGCCGCTCTCTCCTTTGGATCACTCTTCTCCAAGATGATTTCCTTTCCCCCAATGTCTGATGCACAATTGTCACCTCAGATCTCTTGTTTATCATCACCCTGTAAGTTCCCTTTAACGCTTTCCTGTGATAAATATCCTGGCTTTTTGGTTTTGTATAGTTTTCCTTTTTTGGTTTACTTTCTTGTTGTGATAGCTTCCTCAAAAGAGTAATTCCTGTTAGACTTTTTGGGTCTAAAAATGTCTTTCTTGAGGGACATTTGGGTATAGAAGAATTTTAAGCTGCACATGATTTTCTTTCAGAATTTCGAAGCCGTTGCTCCTTGGTCCTCTTACTTGCAATGTTGCTGATGAGAGTGGGCAGACACATGACCAATCTGTCTCTGGAAGTTTGTAAGATCTCTTCATAGTCCCCAATGTCCTGACATTTAGTAATGATTGACCTTTTTATGATGTTGTAAAAAATATATCGCACATTTGTCAGTTCAGCCTAATGATTCATCTTGATGTGGATGTCTTATCATGCTGTGGCATGGTGGGATATTTTCGGTCTGAAAAACTGATAGCCTTTAATTCTAGGAAATTGGAATTACTTCGACGTTAATTTCTTCCTCTCTCTAACCCCTCTCCCACCACCCCTTTCTGGAACTTTCATTATTTGTTCTGAATGGTGCTTTTTATTTTCTCAGTCTTTCACCTCTGTCTGTTTGTTCTCCTTTCTGGGGGATGGCCTCCACTTCAGCCTCTACTCTTGGGTTGACTTTTCAAAAATTCCAAGAGCTCTTTTTTGTGTGTCCTTTTCTAATGGATCCTGCTTTTTTCATGAATGGAATGTCTTCTCTTAGCCTGCTGAGTCTCCTAATGGTAGTTTTCTTAAAGTTTCTGTCTCATGCATAGTTCACATTTTCTGAAAAGGTTTTTTGGGTCATATATATTAATATCTATGCACACAGATACACATGCACCCCATGCATTGTGTTTAATCTCCCATTTACAGGCTTCCCTCAGCATCCAGGCATTCTTGGCTGCCTGGGTTAAGAGTGGGAGACTAACAAGCAGATAATGGGAGTTCCGAATAAGTAGGAGGGCCCGGTAGGGTGGTATTGATGACTATTGTTGGGGACAGCCAAAGTAAGTTCCTTTAGTTTCTTCCTCTTATACATCGCTAGATACCTAGTGAACACTTGCTGCATCTTGCCTGAAGAATAGAGAGTTTTAGATTTGATTGGAATGGGCTTTCCACATAATGCATTTGTTTTATATGTATAAAATATGTATTACTATTATATTTTCCTGTTTTCCATAAAGTAGTTATGTCCTCACCTGTGCTGGATTATTCTATAAAGTTTTGCCTTTCCAGATAATAAGCCTCACCTTTGGCTGAGGGAGGTAAGGTGGGAACGTTCCCCTAGCAGTGTGAAGGGAGGGGATCACAAGATCTAAATAGCTTCCTAAGCATCTTTTACCTGACCTGCTCACCTTTGACCCATGCTTCATAGCGACCTGGTTGCCACTTCTTATGACTTTTGGGGATTTTCTGATATTAAAAGGGTTACTTTTCGTTTCCCCCATGGCTAGCTTAGCGTTAAGTTACCTCAGCTCTGCTTAGTCAGTTTCCATCTGCCTCCCTGCTTCCCGCCTCTCAAAATTGTGTAGTTCCTCCGCTCCCCTTGCTTGCTCTTCTCATCTTCGCAATTACTGGTCTTTTTTTTTTTTTTGACTTCCT